GCAGCAGCAGCAGCAGCAACGGCAGTGCGCTCGATAATAACAGCAGCACAGGTGGTGCTGCTGCACCTGAACATGCATGCAGACCGGCAGCGCCCATTGCTCAGCCGTTGCCGCTCCCTATGTACTGCAGCAGCAGCAACAGCAGCAGCAGCAGCAGCAGCGGCAGCAGCAACAGCAGCCCCGCAGTTTCCGTATACTCTCCCCTTGCTGTGTCTCCGCCTGGTCTCTGTTCTCCTGTCTGTGCATACACCCCAGCAGCTCAGCCTCTCCTTAACCCCAAAGCATTCAGTGCCTTAGAGTGCCTGCTGCCGCCCGAAGCCTCGCAGCAGCAGCAGCAGCAGCAGCAGCAGCAGCAGCAGCAGCAGCAGCAACAGCAGCAGCTCCTGCTGCAGCAGCTGCAACAGATACTGCAGCTGCGGCAGCAGAAGCAGCAGCTGCAGCAGCTGCAGCAGCAGCAGCAGCACAAGCTTTTGCAGCAGCCTCAGGCGCTCCTTGCTGCTGCAGCTGCAGCAGCAGCTGCTGCAGCTGCTGCTGAGGCGGCCCTAGGGGAAGCCCCTGATGCTGCTAAATGCAGCGTAGGTAGGGGGCCCCAGGGGGGCCCCCATGAGGGCCTCCAAGGGGGCCCCCAAGGGGGGCCCCCAGGGGGCCCCCAAGGGGGCCCCTGTCGTGCTGCGCGGCGGCAGCGGCGGAGGCCGTGGAGGACCCCCTGGGATCGGGGTGAGGGCAAGGCGGCAGCGTACCCTGTCTCATCACAGCAGCAGCAGCAGCAGCAGCAGCAGCAGCAGCAGCAGCAGCAGCAGTTGCTGCTGCAGCAACAGCTGTTGCTGCTGCAGCAGACAAAGGGAAAGTCCATACAGAGGACCCGCGTGGGGGCAGCAGCAGAAGTGCAGCAACCCCCAGAGGGTAAGGATGCAGCAGAAGGGATGCAGGGCCCCCTCAGCCTATCTGTCTCCTCGAGGCCTCGCATGCAGCAGCCAGCAGCAGCAGCAGCAGCAGCAGCAGCAAAAACCGAAAGAGCAGCAGCTGATGATATAGACGAGGCAGTGTATGTAGACAATGCCTTAGCCGTATCACCGCACAGCAGCAACAACAGCAGCAGCAACAGCAGCAGCAACAGCAACAGCAGCAGCAGCGCTTCCTCTCCCTCTCCCTCTCCCTATCCGTGCTGCTGCTCTTCTTCTTCTTCTTGCTGCTGCTGCATCTCCCCTTTGTCTCCTGCTGCTCGTGCTGTTGGTGTTTGTTTCTCTCGGCCAAAGGATGTATGGAGAGCAAGAATAACAGTTGAGGGGAGACAGTACGAGCAGCAGTTCTCCGTGAAGAGACACGGATACCACGGGGCCCGCATGCTAGCAGCAAGATGGAGACAGAGCATGGAGAGAGCCAGAACACCTAAACCAC